TAAACAGTACATACAGACGATTACAAGTGTATTGGTTGTTGGGTATACGGATATATAAGTTGTTTGTTGTTTTTTTTGTTTTGGTTTTTTAAGGTATTTGATTTTTCAGTTTCTTGTTGTTGGTATGTATTTCATCACTAATTGCTACACATTCAAAAATTTGCTATATAGNTGCGTTTTAATGCGTTTCCATGCGTTTGTATGCGCTTTAATGCTGCCTAAGATGGGCTAAGAACCATGCACGTGAAGTATAAAGTGGTGTGGAGTGACCGACGACTTTGGTGTATAGGCGGGAAGGTTTATTATTTTTTATTTATTCTTCTATTAAGTATATATGTAGTATAAACATACAGTACGAGTATAAACAGTACATACAGACGATTACAAGTGTATTGGTTGTTGGGTATACGGATATATAAGTTGTTTGTTGTTTTTTTTGTTTTGGTTTTTTAAGGTATTTGATTTTTCAGTTTCTTGTTGTTGGTATGTATTTCATCACTAATTGCTACACATTCAAAAATTTGCTATATAGGCTCTAGTTGTTGTTGTTTCCTCTTCGTTTTTTACTTATTGTTTTCTGGTTTTCAATAGTTTACTTGTGGTGTGTGTGATGTTTGTTGTAGCCGCAGCAGCAGCAGCAGCAACGGCAATGCTATTGTAGAGCTGCCGCTACTGCTGGTGTCCGTGTAGTTAGGGGCGGCAATAATGNCTTCGTTTTTTACTTATTGTTTTCTGGGTTTCAATAGTTTACTTGTGGTGTGTGTGATGTTTGTTGTAGCCGCAGCAGCAGCAGCAGCAACGGCAATGCGATTGTAAAGCTGCCGCTACTGCTGGTGTCCGTGCAGTTAGGGGCGGCAATAATGGCAGTATTTGCTGTTGTTGTTTATCTTTGAAATTACCCAATTATGGCTGGGTTTTGTTTTTGAAACTCTTTTCCAAATGCCACCAACTATTTACTTTACTTATCTACATAAATGCTTTGCTATGCAACCCTGCCAAACCTTGCGCTTTGCTAAAGTAATTTTTTTGTTTATTTCTTCCACTTATTTGTATTCCACCCCCTTCCCTCAATCGCAGTCCCTGCGCTCCCTCACACATTTTCGCTTTTTATTTCTCAAAAATAAGCTCACCGGTCAGCAGCGGATTCATATATGTTTGTGTATCGTAACCCGCACGCTTTCGCGCACCGCCGCTGCCGCCCCTACGCTCGCCATGGGTGTAATACAGCGGACGCTTATCTTCTCTCGAATTCAGTACCAACGGTATGGGTAGCTGTGTGTATGGCTCCTGCACCACGGACAGTATGGGTGGATTCATGGGTGGCGTCTCCACCACAAATGGCTCGGCTACATAGTCGTTATTCAGGTTGTTGTTGTTGTTGTTGTTGCTGTCCACATTGCTGTTAACCGCGACGGCTGCTATGTTCTTGCGATGATTCTTGCGTGATGTGTGCCGATGATGGTTGTTGTTGTTGTAGTGCTTGCGATGCGATTTGCGTTTGTTGTGTCCATTGCTTGCATTGGGCGCTGCCAGTGACGCTGCCGCCGACGCAGTTGCTGTAGCGAGCGCTGATGCGGGCGCCAATACAGGA